AAAGCAATCAGCCAACCTCATCTTTCTTTTCTCTCTCTATAATATCCCACAAGCATTGTATAAGGGCATCGCTGTAGTTATGAGGTCCTTTTCAACTTCCTTGGCTTGTATTTATTATTTACTTATATTTATATCCTGCCTTTATTCTAAAAATGGCACTCAAGTTGTCTAGCAATAATAAAATTCAATTTAAAATAAATTTTAAAAGAAAAGATTAAAACACAATTAGAAACAAAAGAATTCAAGAAAGAATAGTCTCCTTCATTTAAAATTTAAATAAATAAAATTTAGAGGCAAAATATAATGGTCTTTCTTTTATCACTAGCAGGACAACAAGTACATGTTCAGCCTAGTTTCCTTGAAGGGCACATCTAAATATGAGAGTGGTCACCAAGAATGCCTTCTTCTGCATTTCACCCAAATGTGTCTCCATGAGCCAGAGCAGAAAGAAAGCCTTCCTTCAAAGATCTGAAAACCTGGGGGAAATTTGCATCTTGGACTTTATCTTCAGGACTTCTGCAGTTCATGTGTAATGAAAAAAATCATATTGTTATGACGACAAACTCCTTTGATCTTTCGTACTCCTTATAAGGCAAACAATGGCCCAAATTCTGTTCTCTGAGTTAACTCTGAGGAAGATTTTCTGGCAGCAAATTTTGTTGGATTTGGTGGCTGTTTTGCACTGACAAATTCCAGATAATTTGCCCTGACTTGGCAAAGGCTCCATCAAGATGCTGACCAGATAATGGAGAACTGACAATGATTCTGCAAATGTCTCAAAGAATCTTCAGCAGGGTCCTTCATTCACCTGGAGACAAATGCAAAACTGCCCCCTGCAGACCATCTGTGGAAGACTTAAGTGTATTTAGGTCCCTGTCATCACAGAATTTTCAAGGTCATGGATCCCTCAGTCTAGCACAACTGCTTTAGAGTTAACTGAATGGTTTCATCACAACACTTTTGAAATGTTCTTTGACACCATTTTTGCTTTTCCCTGATGTTGTAGTGGTTTAACTGTTTGCCTGTGTGACTTTCAAACACCATTAATATGAAGTATCTCTAAAATAAATAAGCAAACTATCTGTTACAACAAGTTCATTTATCTATTCATTTATTTGGACTACATCCCACCTTTGTCTCAAAATGGGACTCAAAGCTGTTCACAATATAAATTAAAACAATTTCAACTAAAATAATTTGTTGCACAAAAGTTGAAAAAGCATTAAACGATCGGTCCAATAAAAACACTGTTTTTGAAACATTACATTAAAAATAATTATAAACACAGGAAATACAATATACAAGGTGATTAAAAAAGAATAGTGCAAAAGTAAAGCTGTTCTTATTCGGTTTTGCACCATTCTTTTAAAATCACTCTTTTTTTTGTTTTTTTTAAAGCACACACATTGCTTATCTTTCTACCCCAGACAGCTAAAGGCAGAATGCCTGCTTAAATAGCAAGGTTGTTTCCTAATGGTGAAAAGAGAGCAGAAAAGGGGAAACCAAGGCCGTTTTTAGGTGGCGGGGGGAAATCCAAAACCTAGGAGCAGCTATCCAAAAGGAGCAGCTACCCAAACTCTCTCTGTTCTGTGCTCCAGTCAGCAAGTCACTCAGGAACCAAGTAGTTGGGGTGCAAGAGATGTTGAGTAGTTAATTCAGTCCAGGTCATTCATAAGCTATCAAACAAGAAGGAGGGCAAAACAAGAGATCCTCAGCCAGTCCAGGAGTTGTTACAGCAACTCAGCAGTCCAGACAAAGGAAGCCAGCAAGTTAATTGTAGTCAGTCCAAGACCAAGAAAACCTGAATTCTGAAGAGTATTGCCTGTCACCAAGAAAAAATTGTTGCAAGCAACAGAGACACCAGAGAGCTGCTGGGCAATTTATGGGCAGCTGTCTTAAAACTCTAGGTGCTTTATTAATCAGTGTCTCCTATTTAACAGCCACTAGGAGTGGCACAATCTTTCCTTCTCTCTTTGCTAATCATCAAAGGATAGCACCATGTCTTCAGTATCTGCTATCTCTTTCTGGGGAATAGCCCCACCCTTTGCTTCAGCCCTCAGCACCTTGGATTCAGAGAAACCGAAGTCATCAGGAGCTGTAAATTCCTGCCAATCTGACTCTGCATTTGAATCTTCTGACTCCAGAGAGTGAGTTATGACACTCTTCTCGGTCCTCACCTGAAAATCCCGAGAGGGTGGTGCAATGGAGAGAAAGCCATTCCCCTCAGATCATAAAACTTGGGCAGTAAAACTTGATACTGCCTTTCAAATAATATTATTTAATGATATCAATAATAATGTAAGCACGAATTATCATATTTAGAAATATTAAAACACAACATAAAGTAAAATATATTAGAGCCCTTGTCATTAAAATTTTCTCTGGGATCAGCTTGCTCAGGGTGCAATCAAGCCAACTTGAATCTCTTCCAAGCCTCCTATGCTTTCTGTGAAAAATGTAGCCATCTGCTAAATTGTCAAACCTAAGCAGAGTTAGGCACCTACCTCTGCCCATTTTAAAATAAGGGACTTAAGCATGCTTAATGGCATGGGATTGTGGTGGGATGAATAGCAGCTATATTTCCCAATGTTATTCCCCACCCCCCCACAACTCACCTGGTAAGTTGTGCAGCTCTCTTTTTGATATTATTTCTGAGTTGTTGGAGAGTGGGAGGATGAGTGAGGATTGTCTAGCTATTTTCTTGTTGCTGGATGTACTGTGACTGGCATCTGCAGAGACCTCTGGAGGTCCTTAGGACATTCTCGTAGTGCATCCAGCTACATGAAAATAGCTGGATGTGTCCTTGCTCATCCCCTCACTCTACAACAATATGGGAATGGTTATGGGGAGGGGGTACATTACTTATAGAGGTGATTTTGACCATTATGGGGTCAGAACAGAATTGTGATTCCTGCAACCACCAAAAAAAGTAAATTGTGGTTGTGTAAATCTGACTTACAGAACTTGCCCCCCCCCACATCAGCTAGCATCCTGTTCATAAATTACAGTGGTGTAAGTCAGATTTATACAACCACAACTTACTTTTTTGTTCTTGTCATGATCCAGAGAATGGTGGCTCAGGAGGACAACCTCTGCTATGTGTGGAAGCTGCCCTTGCCTTGAGACCTGGATTGTTCAAGGGTTTCAGAGCTTCTCTTCAGATCATTTCTCTCCACATGAGGAAACTGAAGGAGTGCCGCTGTTATGGTCTCCCTGCACTGATTTTAACATATAACAAATGTTTGAATAGGGCAATATTATCTTTGTCAACTAAACTAAAAAGTTAGATCTTTTTCACACTACATAATTATAGCTCTTTAATAGTACTATAATGGCCATGGCATCATCCTATGAACTTTGGGAATTTGCATTTTTGTCTAGTATTTAGACTTCTCTACCAGAGAGCTCTAGGGCCTCTGAAAATGACAAATCTCAGGATTCGCAAAGTCAACTAGAGAATAGCAGTTAAAGAGGTGTCCACTCGCTATGATTATGTGAAGTGAAAGAAAAAAAGTCCTCAACAAGGCAGCCAGGTGATTAATTTTCCATGATCATGGATCACAAAAGCTGACACACAGAGGAATTCCATACTATAGAACAAAGATTATGAACTTTTTTTTCCTTTTGAGGTCAGCATTATCTAGGTTGAAACTTATCAGAGACTTCATGCTACCAATAAGTGTCCTTAAAGTCAAAAGTAAGCAGAATCCCAAAATGTGTGGAGTTTCAGATGTCATTCTTAACACTGCTCAGTATACAACAGTATCCAACATGTACAGGACCACTCCATCACTTCTGGATGAAGTAATCATATTTATATTAGAAAATTCCCTTTTCTAGTGTAAA